AAGTTTGTAAGGGGAGGTAACTGTTTTAAATTTGTTTTCTTGAATATACTGGTTAGTTTATTTATTCTAATTTCGTTTTTCTTCTGTTTGCATACACTTCGCAATTTTACTCCTGTTCATCTGCCCTTTTTTGACCTTCCCTTTCTTTGTGTTTCGTTACAACTTGAACCGTTCAACAGTAGAGCCAGGGTTATGTACTGTTGACTTATTTTTATGTAGAGTATAAGGGAATAAAATGTTTAAGAGATTTGTAGAAGGTAGTTATTTAATTCAATAAAAACAAAAGTTTGCACTTGTATAATTTTCATTCATATTCTTTTATTATTTTAGGCATGCGTAACACAAGGAGCTATGCTGGTTGAAAAATTTCTTTCATTAAGTCCCACTATTCTGAAAAAGTCTGTTGGATAATGATTAAAAAAAGGCGTCTACAGTCATTATGTTGTACTGCTTACTCCGTGGTATGTGGCAGCAGTTAGATGTTTCTCACAGATGATCAGCGGTTCCCCAAAATTACACAAACCTCCCTGCACTATGATTCAGGCGTCGGCTATCTAGGTTTTACTCATCTGACGTTAATGAAGTCAGAACTAAATCCAGCGATCTAATAATTGTCTTCAGTTGAAGACCTGCAGAACCTATCTCATGGAGTATACGGTCGCGTAAAACCAATCTCCTTCCCCATTCAGGTACCTCACAGAGAAATCTTTCACGGTGTGGATATCCGGAAAGTAATGACCATTCGTATGCTTTCAGCAGTTTATCAAACGAAGCTGACCATAACCTGACTTCGTCATATCTATCTCCTCTCTTAAATTTAGTTCTTGGAGCCAGTATTACGTCTCTTACAGCTTAGTTAAACCCTTATTTTTCGATGATTAATAACGAATCAGGTCCACAAAACACCATTCGTAGTTTAGTAATACCTTACTGTCTATTTCATTTTAGAGCTGACGACATTTGAATCTGATGTTAAATCGGTCAACGGGTGTCTCTTGCCGAAACTCTGGAATCTAGCTTCATGGATGTGTGCTGTATTACAGAGACATAAATATACGACTCGAATGTGGTTATTCGTTCTGCCTTACCTCTTCAGTGTGGTGTATTTAAAATTCAATCAATGAGTATCCTGACCTTCGATGATACAAGTGCAACGATTATTCTTCGAGCAGAAAGCTCTTTTCTCGACTGAATGCTGTTCAGTAGTGACCTGAGTGCTATTTGACTTAATAAAATCTGCGAGAATTGGGAGAGATTGTGACACTTACTTATGCCCATTTATATCTTCCACCAACGCATTCACTGACTCCAGTTCAGATAGTGTATTGGATGATTTCTATCAAAGGCTGTCACTTTTGCTGTAGAAAGCAAGACTTTCAGAGACAGTCATAGCAAGAGGAGACTTCAACACTTAAGTAGTGGAGCTAAGTCAATCAGAAAGGCACTTTAGAAGTATCTACAGCATTTCAAGCTGAAAAACATACAGCGGCGATCATCTTTGTGAATTTTTCGTGACATTCATTTGTTACTGATCAGCACTTACTTCAAGCATACGGAAAGACACCGTCTTATTTGGCGTCCCTTGACATCAAATGAACGATGAAGACAGATAGAATATATTGCAATAAGCCATCGTTAGAAGATCGCAAATCTCTCCGGAGTTCATGTTTACACTCTTACCATGAGTTAGTATGAACACATGTAAGTTTTAACCTAATTTGCCACAGAAAAAAAATGGCAGTGAAACCTATATGTACTTGGTTGAAAAATAAGAACGTGAAGTGTGTATTCAGGTAGGATATAATGAGGCATGTTGTTCTTGACGAAGGCTGCGATAATATTTTTTCGGCTGCAGAAACAGTAGTAAAGACAGCTGGTAACACGTATTCAAAAGTGTTAGTGAACTTTCACAACCTCAGCCGAACTGACTGATGTTATAAGAATCGTTTCAGCTGGCTCCAGTCACACTGAAGAGCGAAATCAGATCAGATGTAAATCGACTTAGAGTCCTCGCAGTAATCGAGAATTATAATAATAGATGAAAAAAGCTTAAAGATGGAGAGGGAATCGGAATCAAGTAATACTCTACAATTGTTTCAATTTATTAGGGATACTGGCAAGTAGATGATGGTGGGTGAGACCATCACTGAGGAAGACGACACACTGATAACCTTTAAGGACAAATGGTTAGGATGCTTGGTGGATCACCTTGAAGAGCTGTTCAGCTGGCCTACAGTAACGTTTAAAATATCCAGCAACCGGCCTGAATCTGAATTATTGGAAAGATGTCAATCCTCCCACATTCTTCGAAGCTGTTTCCAACCCAAAGAGAAGAGAAATAGCAGAAACTGATAGTTTGCCACCCGAAGTTTTTAAAATGGAGGTAGAAAATTACTGATTAGATTGACTGAGATGTAAGGTAGTGTGTGAACATCAGAGGCAGTCCCATCAAACTGGTTTACTTCACTGATCAATCCAGTTTGTAGGAAAGGATAGAAGTCTTCCAATGAAAACCATAGGGGTTTCAGTTTGGCTAATATCGTGTGTAATATCCTAGAGTCAATAGATATCCGACGCCTGGGTGGAACTGAAAATAACAGACTCGAGAAAACTTGGCAGGTTTCAGACCTGGAAGAGAATTTTTCTATCGGATTTTCACGTTTCGATAAGTTCTGAAACATGGGCGTACTTACTGGTCAGTGGCCGATACTTATCATGATTGTCGACCTGAAGGCAGTATTCAACTCTGTCGACCGTGCGGTGGCAGTATCTGACTGTGAGGGGAGTGCGGAGCGAGTACCTGACGATTATCAAAGCTCTCTACTCAAACTCACGCAGCCGTGTATGGGTCTATTGAGATTTGCCATGTGAAACTACAACAGCTAGTGGTATCCACCAGGGATGTTCATTGTCACAGTTACTATTTTATTTCGTAACAGGTGTACTAATGGACATAACCTTAGGTATGTATGACTACACGGGGGTTGACCTACGCCCTGGATGTCATCTGGTTGATTTGGTGTATGTAGATGACATTGCCCTGCTAAGTGAAGACTCTGACAAAATGCAGACAGGCTCTTCTAGAAGCGGTTAGCAGAAGTCTGAGTATGTTTGGCATGCCTTTCATACCAGTCAAGTGTAAGGTGATGCTCCAAGTCTGATTTGTAGCCACTCGCTCTTGGATGAACGGAGGGAACTGGTGAATCGTGTCGACCACTTCACTTACTTGAAGGTTGCATCAGCCGGAATGGTCTGGTTGCTGACGAAATCTCAGATGGGATAAAGAAGACACATTTAAGATTTGCTAACTTGTGTCATCTGTGTCGTGGTCTGCAGAGATATCCAACTATGAATTAAAGGAAGAATAAACTGCCCTACAGTCCTTTTCCTCCTGTTATACGGGTACGAGATACGATTGTTGTAAGTAGAAGGCATGAAGCTATTACAGGTCTTTGACCATAGGTATCTTTTGCAGCATTTCTCGCATTTGGTGAAATTCCTTTGTTAGCAGTGTTGAGGTCAGACAAAGAGTACTATGGAAGTAAGGGAAGGCGATCAATTAGGCTATAAACCTTCAGTGATGTAAGCTGAACGTACTGACTTACCTTCCATCTCGGCATGCAATGCTGGGGGAAGCTAGATTAGATTGGAAAATTGTTCAGGGTGGTCAGATCAAAACGTAGCATCAGTCAATGAAGTCTCTTATCATTGGACTGAACCTTGTCAGGAGGTGTACACTACACTAAACTTTGTTTTGAAATCGGTTTCCCTCCTTTATGGTTTGATTTAAATTTTATACCAGTCTTCTTCTATTCAGTTGTTCTTTTCGTGCTACTATGAAGTTTGACAACTTAAACCAAAGCATTTGTATGGTAACTCTATTCATTGATGCTAATTTGAATACTTTATTACATAACAGGTAGATTTAATGGTTGAAAGATTTAAAAATAACTTTCACCCACAGTTGGTCGTTACATAAAAGACTATTATAACTAAGAAATACCTTAAATAATCTACTTTATATCATGTGACTAATTATCTATACGCTCGTATGATTTATAGGAGCTAGTTACATTGGGCGTACAATGAAGCATTTCCATCATGGTTGAACAAGGGACAAATTAGAACTATAAACAGCTGCATTCTTGCACACTTAATTGACATAGGACATCAAGTGGTTACTGGAAAAGCCTTCAAAATCATTCATCAGATTCCAATTGATTTACCTCATGGATTACTCACTCGCGCTTACTTCACATAGCAGAGGCGATTGCAATCCACCTTTAAAAACCTAGCCTTTGTGTTTAAAAGAAGTTCGTTCGACCACTTTCATTGCCGTGGCCGTCAACATGATGTAACTTCTAGGTTTACTTTGTACACCTCTTCCCCTTCCCTTTGTTTCTATCAATATTCATATTTCCAATTTTAGTAACTCTGTTGATTATTTACATTATTATTTCCGAAAAACATCACCACATGATTGGTAGTTTGATTAAGTTGTTCAACTATATATATTAGTGTAGAGTCCAAGATGAAGATCTAATTGAAAAGGAATATGATTTCTTCGCTGAATCCGTCTTTTTATAAAGCGTTGTTTGATAAATTGAAATAATTGTTGTAGAATACGGACAATTTCAGATGGAATTTATTGACATACATGTTATTCTTGGTGGTTTTATTGAATTGAATTGCTCTATTCGCATATGGGCTCCTATGTGGATGCCTCGATATTGCCTGGATGTTAATTATGATAATTTGGTTGGTTGTAGCTAGCAAAAGAATCTAGGATGTTTGAAGAGATGGGTAAGAGGTTCGAGTCTCAGTGGGACCAACATCACTGAGGTTTAGGTGCATCTAACTGACCAGTGAGTCCTAAATAGGGCAAAATGCGCCTCCTGGATTCTTCTGCTAGTCACAACCAACCAAATTATCAAAATTTCATAGATGAACTTTTTTAAAAGTGTAAATTTATACTTTTGTGAATAATTATTAATATTTACCTTAAATTTGGTTCATTTCGTTGATTCGATGCAAAATTTCTTTTAACAGCATACAGATTTCGTTCAAATGGGCCTTCAATCTAATTATTAAAAAAAGAGTCATTCGATTAGGTATAATTTATGAAGGTGACATAAAGATCACATTGAAAATGCATATTACAATAAAATTATGTATTACTTATTACTATACTTTCCTAATATAAACAAATATAAGTGCTACTAGCATCCTCATTGATTCATAGTACGAAGTTGATTTAGTCTGTGGCCAGTTTGAGTTTTCGTGTTACTTTATTAAATGATGAAAAATGTAATGACCTCATCATCTGTGGTTAGTCAACAACGATTGTTTCCAAACTAGTGGATTTATGATTTCATCAAGCTAAAATGAATTAAGCTTCATCATCATCATCAATATCAACATGGGACCAGGGATTACTGCATAACGGTCCAAGTTGCCACAGCTCATATCAGTACATCAAGTAAAAAGGCAGTGAGGTGCAAGATGAAGATAAGAAAAAGTGAAGTGAATTTAGCTTAGTATCAGCAACGTTTTACTAGTAGTTATTATTATTACATTATTTGTCCCTTGGGTTCCTAGTGGAACATAGGGCTTCAGTAGCACGCCTCCAGTGCACTCTGTTCTCTGCAGTCTTTTCAACCTGGCTCAACGACTGCCTACAAGCTCTCATTTCTTCCTCACACGATCGCCTCCATGTCACCCTTGCCTCGGAAGCCCAACTCGTCGTTCCCCTTTGGGTTTTACTCTAGGGCCTGGCCTACCGCATGATGTCTCCGAATGATCTCAGTGTATGCCCAATCCATCTCCACTTCCTTCTGCATATTTGTTGAGCGATGGGTTATTGGTTGGTTCGTTACCAGCCACAGTGAGTTCCTTGTTGACTATTCTTACTATTCTGGCAATCCATCTCAGCTTCAGTAACAAGCTAGTGTAGGCAATTGTTGATGAATGTCTGTAGTTTGTTGGAAATCCCTTTTGTGACGCACCAAGTCTCTGAGCTATACAGAAACACTGACTTGACATACATTAGTGTTGAAGATCCGGATGTTGTTCACGCTTTATGCTGAGTGCAGTGCAGAAGATCTTCATACTGGTTTCAGGTTGATGGACGCCTGTCTTGCTGTCTTTCCGATCCTGGCTGCTTTGACGTCCTCGTCTGTGCCTGTACCGCCTGCAGTTGAGACCGCGCTGCCTAGATATGTGAAGTAGGCCACTTCCTTTAAGTTTCTTCGTTGATGGTGACTGGTGTTTGTTGTTGCTAGTGCTGTTGTTGGTTGGGTATCTTCACCATCTCTGTCTTCTCCACGTACACTTGAATTCCTATCTTCACTGCCTCTTCTGTCAACTTGTTGGGTTTTGCCTGTAGATCTTCAAGTTTGTATGTATGTATGTATGTATGTATGTATGTATGTATGTATGTATGTATGTATGTATGTATGTATGTATGTATGTATGTATGTAGTAATACCTGCTATTTAACTGCAACTGTTTAACATTTCGTACAGAAAGACCACACTACACAAAAGTTATGAAATAAACTGATAAACACGAAGTTTCTAATGACCAATAGGATAAAACCGAGTAGATTACCATCGATGGAGCTGTGGCTTATTGGTTTCAGGACATGACTTTCAACCATTGGGTCATGGGTTAGAACACCACTACACTTATCTCGCTTAGGGAAACTAGGTAGTATTATTGACCCGGATGCAATAGATGTGGTTCACTACCTACTGCAAGAATGTACACAATATTACTAAATATATTTCGATTATGATTCTAAATCACCGATGTTTGAGGATTATGAGCAAAATCAATGGTAAACTTCATCCTTTCAATGTTTATGATGTTTATGATGGATCGTGGTTAGAACCCAGGATGCACATTTCGTCCTATTTGGGACTCACCAGTCAGCTGGATGTACCTGCTTCCTAGTGAGTGATGTTGTTCCATCGGGATTCCGACTCGGGAGCGATCGCCTCAAACGTGGGAGCGTTATCCACTATACCACTGAGCCACGATCCATCATTAACATAATTAAAACGCAGGCAGTATCGAGGCATCCGCACAGGAGTCCATGTGTCAATAGAGACCTATCAAATCGGTCCAGTCAATGACGGTATGATATAAAAACAATTATACTAAGTTTATTATATTTTCAAAAATATTGGTGTCCGAGGGTGACGTGGAGAAGACGATGTGAGGAAGAAATGAGAGCTTGTGGGCTGTCTTGGAGGCTGGTTCAAAAGACTTCAGAGGGCAGAGTGCACTGGAGGCGTGCTACTGAAGCCCTATGTTCTACTAGGAACCCAAGGGACAAATAATAATAATAATAATGCAGTTTAGTATGCAAAGTTTGTATTGTTTAACACTGACTGCTGAAAGCTTTTTCCTCAGTACTTTCAAATAATATTGTTGATTAAACAAGTATGAACATCACTGGAATAGTTGACAAACAGAATGAACATATTGGCATTTCATACGGGTGAATAGTTTCTCAACTTTGGAAGCTATTCAGTTGAGATTACAAGATGTGATCTATGACACAAAAGTGTCATGAAATAGCAAAATATACTACTGTTGAATATATCTTATGATCTCGGTCCAGTGGTTTTCAGCGGAAACCTTATTGACACCTTAGTTAGCCTTTGGAAAACTATTCACTCAGCTGTGAGGAATGTAAAAGTGCACCCTTCAATTTGTAAAACATTTGCAAATTGTTCATTCTATTTTAACTATACTGGTCCATTCAAGTCGATTAGTCAGATTCAGATACTCTGAACCAATTCAGCTGTGGCTGGAGAAATACTTCAGATCAATCTGAGTCGTTTATAACTACTCAATGTTATTCAATGGTAGTATCTTAAAGTTATGAAATGAAGTGTCTAAGATCAGTAAATCTGCCAAAACTTAGTCCAATAGGAATATCTATCAGCTTAAAAATGAACCATATTCTACCTTTTTAATGTTTTATATATATAATATGTCACTGTATTTAGAGAACTATGACTTTACACCATTTCATTTCAAAGTTTCTGGTGGCTGTCAGTACCAGAATAAAGATGCTGAAACTCTTCTGCTGAATACTGACGTGTGCAAAACAGAATTTATTTTAGTGAAGTTGTCGAAGGGTGTACATCAAGTGGTAACTTTTGATGAAGGAATTATTCAAAGTGATCTGGTGATTAAAGTATCTGAAGTTGTTCGAAGTGACATATCTACGGTAATTTTGATCTACGAGTTTCGTGTAAATACGATATGAGGCCTAGGTAAGTTAAGAAGTAAATGAGACCAGAAAGTTAAGCAGCGACTCGTTCAATAGTCTATTTTTATCTTCTGGAAACACAAGCATTGGCAGCTAAACTAGTCAAATCACCTGATACTCCTCCTCTCTAATTGAGTTACATTTGGATTGGGATGAGAAGTCCTGACCAGACAGCCAGTGAGAATACGATCAAGCGGTAGTAATGCATCATGAACTCACATGTTAATCGGCCAAACCCTTGGTGATTGAAGTGAAATAAAAATCTGATCAGAAGTCTGGTCTCCTAGGTCAGTTAGTAGAGCATCCGGCTGTAAATCCGATGGCCGCTAGTTCGAATTTGGCCACTGTCCAAATTTTCATTTCACCTTCAATGATCATACAGTATTCAATAAAAGAAATGGACATTTCACAAGTTTAAATACTTATGTTCCGTTTAGTTTCTAAATGAGATCCTTTAACTTTATTTATTTGGAAAGAATGATAACTTGTAAAAAAGCTTGACTAACTATACTGTGGGTGTTTATAGAAAACAGAAATACAAATACTTATGAAGCTGATCAATCAGGAAGATCAACTTTAAAATACTTGTTGCTATTGTGTAACAATGCGTCTCCTATGACTGATTAGTTTATAGACACTTAAAAGATATTAGTTATACAGAATTGGATAATTAATGGAAACCTATTTAGCACTTTCAAATCATTGAGCTCTAAATATATGAACTAGGAAACTTATTGAGCAAGTCAGCTTGCAAAAGGAGAATATATCTATCTATCTATCTATCTGATTTAACTTCAATGCAACGATTGTAATCAGAGAAAGTAAACTTGATTAGTTTAAGGTCAAATAAATAGGCCGAAGCGATAAACTGTGGTTAGCTAGTTTCAGGTTGAAGAAAAATAAAGTTTTTTTTGAGGAAATAAGCCTATACAAAAAAAAGCTGATCACGTATTATAACTAATGATTACAGTATCTTGTATACTGTGTACTCAGAAGACTTGATTGAGAGGGATTAACAGTTTCGCTTGGATTAGATTCAACTAAAAATGCTTTACATAATCCATTTCAGTAAATTCTACATCATCAAGACATGCGTTATACGTTAAGGAGATTTTAAAAAAGTAAGATAAAACGGTTACTTTCACTTACAAATGAATATCATTCTTATCATAAAAGGGAACTAAAGTTAAACAACAATAATCGGATAAATGACTGTTTAGAACTTCGTCACTCCAGTACTACATCGAGTGAACTATGTCTTAAACAAAATCACATAAGTTTCTATCGGAATTATTACTTAAGTAATTAGGGAGAAAATTACAGTTACTTATTTTAGTCTATTTGTTAGAAATATCACACAATGAGGGAACAGTAGCATTTACTGGATAACGTTTCGGACACAATTTATTGCCCATATTCATATCAGGTAAATCCACCAGAGTCAGTTAGAATAACACAGCACAAAAACTTAGCTAAATCGACATTAGTAGATACTAATAAAGATAGGAAATCTAGAGAAAAGCTCAGCTATTACTCTGCATGCGATGACACACAATCACACAGTAGAGTGGGATAAGGCGACAGTTGTTATTCATCATAGACTGACATCAGTTGGAGGGATAAAAGAGACCGGGGAGCACTGGATAGCTGTTTCGTCTCAGTGGTATGGGAGTCCTCAGCAGTGCGCACCCACCACTCCGTCCTCCAGGGGTCGAACCCGTGACCTTCAGGTTTCGTGGCCAGCAGGTTACATTGACCCACTGGGTTAGAATCCAATGATCCATATTTTCAATTTC